GCGGGATATGTGCAATATTCATAACATTCTTTTTTTTTTACAGTGTTCATAACATTCTTTTCATCATAAATAGTAAACTTTTGTATGAAAGGATTCTAATAATAAATAAAAAAATAGTGAAATGTTTCATTCCATTCAAAAAATGAAAAATCCATTTGCATCCATTATATTTGTTTTTTGCATAGTACATTTATTTCTTAAACGTTTGTAATTCAAAATGATGCAATATGTTTTAAGCTTAATTTTTTATATATGCATCATTGCAGACTAAAATATATGAATAAATGAATGAAATGTTGTCTAATCCATAAACAGTTTAGTCCGGTATAAGCCTATACCAATTCAAAAAAATTGTGTAACTACTGTTGGACATGAGCCTCATAATTGACAAATTATGAAGCTCTTCGCCGAGCTCGGTCCGACAGAGTTGAAAGCCCAGCGTACTTTCCAAGAAAACTCTACATAAATGTACTTCCTCATTCTTGTATAAAAGAGGGACCCCTCTCCTTGAGTTCTCTCATCACTTTTCCTCTTTTAGAATAGTACAAGGGACTAGAGAACTAATTGTTTTCTGGACTCTAATTAATCTAAGAGAGAATAAATTATGTTCGTACATTCCGCCGGAATCGTACGAGAATTTATCAGAGATACTGATTTTTATACGCGCTTATCATCGATCTCGGAATACTTATCACTCAGGCCCGACCTTAGAATACGTATCAATCAGCCCCGACCTCATGATATTCGCTTACTACCCAATTCCCGACCTCAGGATCTCGTTACTCAGTCAGTTCGTTTATACAAAGTTCGTCAGTTTACTAAGCTTCCGAGCTCAACATCCTTTACTTCCTTGTTCCGTTTTCCTAATTGTAATCCATTTTCGAGCATAATATCAATAAACGAGAATTTCCGAGCCCCTTTACTGTTTAATAAACATACTATCAAACTCGAGTATCAACAATTGGTGGCCTATATAGGTCTCTGAAATTCTCCAACGCACGATTTCAATTCGGAAATGGAGGACAACCAGCCCGAACACAGCACGACCAACCAGGAGATGGATACAAGGAATCACGACCCTCAGATAGCGCCCGCAATCATCGAAAACATCACTGACCAAGAAGTCCAAGCCGTCATTAACACTGAGCCCGCCGGGCAAGAAGTCGTACCAACCCAACAAGCTCAGGATCAAATGACAGTTATGATAGAGGTTATCATGCAACGACTCGACCGACAGGAAGAACAAGCTTGCAGTACCAATTCGAGGTTGGAACTTCTCGCTACGGCCCAGATAAACTACCGAGCATAATTGGATCAGTTGAATCTGAGATCCGCTCACGATTCGTCTCGGACTCGAAGGAGCTCGTCGCCAACCCCCGAACGGCAGGCGCGAGCGGAGACGACCGGAAGATTAGCCAACCTCATCATCCGGGCACCGACTGAACACCCGAGCAGCTCAAGGGCAGCTCGACCAACCTCCCAACATCGTGACTCGATCTCGCATGAAGAACGCCGCATGTTGACGCAGGATCGAGACCCCGAAATCGAGCGGATGAAAGCCTGG